ATCGACGATGATTTTCTTTCGATTTCTACGGGAAAAGAATCGCTAAGAGTACAAATATATTGCACTCGACTGGTTGACGGCGCACGTTTTCCACGTGAAAACGACGCCGACTTTTGGTGACGCTTTCACGTCACATATATGCATATATATATAACCACAGGTCTAGCACTGACCCTTAGATGGTCCTCGCGAAAAAGGCTCCGTTCTTGCCCTCCCCCCACGAACCTCTTTTTTTAGGGTTCTCTCGATGATTCCAGCAGAACCAAGGTGGGTGTACAGACTTTATTTACCTACAACTAATTGCTCGTGTCGTTCAACCAGCTCGCGAACTCTATTGTCTCACTCTTGTTTATACATACTTACCTACCACAGAAAAGAGTATTACTATTATTACTACTTTTTTCTTCGCAGAAACATTTATTTATTTTTTTTTTTTTTTTCTCTTTATCTTTTGTCACTCAACGATCTATAGTTCTTCTCACTCTCGTCTACAATCCCCTTGCCCTTTTTGCAACACGAAAAGGGAGAGCTCGTATTGCTCAACACACCAGGCCCTGATCCCAACGTCTCTATCTCTTCTCACACATACACACATTTCTTGTATTAGATACAGAACGACGTCATTTTTTCCAACAACACCATTTTATTCTATATATATATGTACGACTGTACACTGTATGTGATAGGATAATTGTGAGGTATAGTGTTGAGTATATATACGTTAGTAGATAAAGAAGTATCGTCGAAGAACTTTGGTTCTTTGTTCGATTGAAGTTGAAAGTCGACGAGGATCGGTAGACCCTTTTTCTCTTATCGAAGACAAGTCCACGATGGTTGTCTGTGGTGTTTGTCTCGATAAGCGAAAGGAGAAGTGTTTTGTATAGTAGAGCGCCGGGAAGGTGGCGGGAAATTGCGCTGAGTACGGCGAAATATTTTTATCGCTGGTGTGAAGATTTTGAAAATTCATTTTCTAAGGGTATCTTTTCATCGGGAGAGAGCAGTTTTCCGGGAATTTGAAGGAAAGAGGCGGGAGATAGATGGAAAACTGAGCTCCTTGGAAATTAATAGAAATTGCGAAAAGTATCGCGAAAATTCGCATTAGAAATATTTCTATCGCTGGCGCAGAGATTCTCAAAATTAATTTTCCTCTCTGCCAATTCCAAGTTTTCCATCAGCGAAGCGCACTTTTCTCACGCGAATTCCAAGTTCCCCAAAAATTGACAAAAATTCCAGAAACCATTCCCGAACAAAATTCGCCAATATCTCTCCTCCGCGTAAAATCTCTCCCCCCACAAATTCGTCCACCAGCGCAATTTTCCCGGATAAAAACGAGAGACACACGTTCCTCGCGACGACTAATTAGAAAAGTAGCCACGCGAGCAGCGTCTATCGGTCAGTGATAGGTCGACCCGAGACAGAGAGAGCCTCTGCCGTTGCAGGATCAACGAATCGTCGATTCGTAATCGCGAGAAACGATTTTGCCCCGCGGGAAGAAACCTCAGCGAGAGAGCAAGTGCTTCTTCCACACACACACACACACATATAAAGAGAGAGAGAGAAAAAAGAACCATCGGATATTCCTCGAACCAGAAAAGGAAACGATCACTCCTCCTCGAATCCTTTTGAATCGAAAGGACCACCGTCACACTCACTTTCAGACGAATCGTTTTATGCTCACGCTGACGTTTCTCACGCGGCAATTTTTCGCGAATTAGATTAGAGCTTAAGGCTAGCATTAAATCACGGAACTACAGGGTATCTCGAGAGAAAGTATTTTTTACGACATTCCACCAACGTGGAATTACGTTCTTTATTATAGTAAACTACGCGTAAGCTTTGTATTCGATCCGGTTCTTTTATTCAGAGATTCGTCGATACACAGGGTATTGTTTTTTTTTTTTTCTTTTCTAGTGATCGTAAGGAAAGTTACCTTTTTATAATTAGTAAGAGCGACACATTCTGCGACAGTTGTCGAAAAGACCGATGCATTCCGGTGAATAATGATTTTATTAAATCACTGCCAACGTGCCATTCGTATACACGCGTGTATAGTAGAAAGATTTTTGTAACGAGTTTGGAGAAAAAGAATTCGTCGACTATCTGTATGGCCTGACATACTAGTTCCTAATTTATTTTTCGTTTATTTCTTCTTCTATAGCGAGAATGGAAAAATGATGGATATACAAAGTTCCTTCCTATTTTTCTCGATTTTTACAAATGTACAAGCTTGGACCGGAGGTTCATTGTTCGCTCTTCTAACACAGCTATCAGCCAAAGTTCGCTTCGTAACAGCTAAACGGAAAGCAAGGAACTCTAGCAACGTTCCCGAAACAAAGTAAACTCGATTCCTGTGATCCAGCAGAGTCAGATCGACCGATTCTCTTTCGACGACGACAACGACGACGCGTCTTCTGGATCCAAGGCACGTTGGCTCGCGTTCGTGACTCCTAGGCGTGGTTTTTCTCGCCTAGAAAAGAAACAGTATTACTCGCGAGACGAATTTCCTTTTAGCGAATCGAGAGCACGCGACACGTTCCGATTGTAAGAATGGAAAGGCAAAGTGGAGGAAAGAGAGGAGAGTTTATTCTTCTTCTTCTCTTCGTTCGATTTTTACCGGATGAGAAATAAAGAAGACGAGGCGAGACCACTTTGCCTTGCCACCGATGTGTCGCAGTTTTTGAGAGATAGAACGGAGCGGGGAATATGGTGAAACGGAGGATGAAAGAGAGAAGAAAAGAAGATGTTACGAGAAGTGAAGAGAAAACAGAGAACTGTGGACAAAGAGAGAAGCGACACGATAAGAAACGATGTTTCCATGGAGGAGACGGGGAGTTGAATTAAGCGTCGAATCGATCCGGATTCTATGGGCTAGGCTCGCGGAAATTCGATCTTTCGACGAGCGTGATCTCGCGAATCTTTCGTGGACAGGAATTTTGGAAGTTTGACGATGAAAAAGAAATATTGACAATTTATATTATTTTCTGTTTTATCGTCGAGAGTTTGATGAATAATTTATCGCCGTTGTTCAGATGTGTTTTCTGACGAGGAAATAAAGAAGAACTAATTTAGCAAAGAACAGACACGAGGAATTCTCAGTGTTGATCTCGCGGTTCGACTACGTGGCATGCATCATTCGTTCCTCAACCAAACACTTTCTTCATCTTTCTTCCGTTTCGTCCCCTCAGTTTGATCAACTCTTTACATTCGTCTCTCTTGAATCAATCTCATTATTGGAACCTCGTTACTCCATCGTTCGATATTTCTTCCTCGGTGTACACTCTCCTCTTTATTTTCTTCCCCTTGCAATTCTCTCGTACGCTTTTCCCCTCGCGTGGAAAATACAGAAAAAATAACAAAGATCCATGTGAATGTTTTTCCCTAAAAACCAAAGAAAAAAGGAAATATTTCGAACAACTTGTGCTTACACAGAAACATTCCCTTGGAAGAATGAGGGTAAAGTTACTTTCGTCAAAAGTGCATGCAGTAGGCTTTTTTGGTCTTGATTAGTGGCGTCTAGCTTTCAGTGAGTGAAACACTTGAGCGACAAGAAGCCCGAATTATTCAATCGTAACCCTATAGACACGTGGACCTTTGTCTAGCTACAATTTCTAAGATTTGAACAAAAAGTACTAATTTTGCACGTGAGAAAAATGTGATACAATTCGGAAACGTAAGGTTGGGCTGGCAGAGGTCCTCGGAAGCTTGTTCGACACGCTCGACGGAACCGTGTATCCACAATCTCTCCCGCCACCATTTGCATGCCACGTGTATACCACCTTTCTTCACACGTAAACGCATTTTTAAAGTCGTTGCAAAAAAAGAAAAAAAAGAAAACCGTGTTTCTATGCCGTCTGCTCTCACGTTCTCTCTGTGTCGTTTCCTGCTCTCTGTCGGATGCTCTTACGATTCCACCGCTGCTACCGCGCGCAAAACTCAACCATCTACGTTGTTTCTGTACAATCGTGAATGTGTACCATCAGCAAGATAGACGAATAACACACGACAGCAAGGAAGAAACGAACGGAACGAAGCTGTCTCGTGTCAAGAGCGATAGCTTCTACGCCTCCTCCGATCGTTCGAATTCCATCTCGCGGTCGAAACGGTTCCATTTAAAAACAATTCCACCTTATCCTCGGAATTCTGCGCAGAGTTCGCTGCAATTAAACGCTTTTCACCGACCTTAAAAACGCGAGAGAGAGGAGCTTGGTATTTCGAGAACACCTCGAGCTGAAGAGAAAAGGCGGCGCGGGGCTATCCTCGGAAACGAGGCGGCTCGTTCGAGCTGGAAAAGGTCAAGAGCGGCGGAACGGCGCGCAGGAACACACCGCAAGGACTCGGTTGAACGAAAAAAAAAACAATTTTCAAAAAAATATATCGAGAGGAGATCGTTAT